ACACTTTCCGTCAAGAAAATAGCATAAAGATTAAAACGAAACGGAACTATGCGACAGAGAAAAGAAAAACCATTATGTCGTTGATTTATGAATAAACGAAGGACACTAAAAATATTCTATCAAGGTTGCCGGGATAGCTAAATATTAGAGCTGATTACTACCACTCCATATGAAATAATACATGTTACTAATGTTTACGTTAGTTGAGTGTTTCGGAATGATATAAAAATAAAAGGCACTTCTACCGAAAGGTTACTTCTTCTTAAGAATATAAGAAACGTAAATTTTATTTTAGAACACTAACTGAAAAGTAACGCAGTAGATAAGCTTTATACGTATTGTGCAACAAGAACCTGTTTAACTCTCAAAAACACGTGCGATATAGAATAGTTGATAGATGTATTAGTGTTCGTAATACAACAGTCATTTCGAAAGTTATCATGAGTTATTCTGTTGAGAAAAAGTGTTTACTTATTTACAAGCAGTGACAGTTCACGTATGCATTTCTGTTTTAAGGTACAGTCAAATGGACTATTTTGGGTGTACAAGGTCAACACGATTCATTCGTTGCTTCAGCTGGTGACGTTGTGTTCATTCCGCAGGGACATCTTCATTACTTTGAAAATGCAGGCGAAACGAATCTCACTGTTTTGGTTGTATTCAACACTAGTGTAGCTGAGTCTGACGATGACATTGGAATTGTTGCATCTATTAGCGCTATGCCAACAGATGTACTGTCGGCCGTGTTTGGTGTATCACAAGAAGCATTTGAAAACATACCGAAAAATTTTACTCGAGCGCCGATTGTATTCAAAAGAAAACAATAAATTATTTGATAGCTATTCTCGGTTTTGTTACGTACTATTTCATTTTCATTTTTTATTTAATAAAAAAGCTCTATTAGCTGCTATTCTCAAAACAGAAAGATTCAACCTTCTGTCAGACAATATCTATCAAATTTAGTCAATGGTTAACGGTAGTTACCATTTTCAAAACTTCTCGTTACAATGATTCTTGTTGTGTCAGTTATTTTCTTAAAAATAATTTGGTCGCTATTACATTTCTAAAAAAATTAGAGATGCTTTTTATCGGGTAGTCAAACACATCATGTCTCTCCAATAATGTCCAAATGACTTGCCCTCAAACTGACATTTTTGATATATCTTTTGAGAAGAATATGTTTATAAACACTGAACCGGCAGGGCAGGTTAGAGAATTAAATAGCCTGCATCAACTTTCTTATGACACACATATATTGTTGCTGACTGCAGAAGATCGTTGACTTGAAGAAGATAAAGTTTGACAGTATATATCTACGGCGATACTTCGACGTATTTTTGTTTTATACCGAGCACTGAAAAATAAATTTTTACGAATCATTAGTGAAAAGATTTGAACGTCACGTGAAATGCTAGTACGATTTAACTTTTCAAAGACGTATTTTCAACTACCACTGCTGTTATAAAGAACTAAAAAAATGAACCATCTTTGAGTACAATTAGCTTCTAGCTAAGCACCTCTTCCTATATATCGGAGTTTCACTAAAGTAACAATGTACACCAGGGCTAGTGGAACAACATAAAGTAGGGCATCAGGAGGCATCAACCGCCTCTTTTCTACTTTATTGTCCAAACTGCTGCACCTAATTAAAGCCGGATTATATCTAGATGCCCTAAATGAAGTTGAAATTTATGTCACTGCCGCTAGATCCGAGATAGATAAATGTACCTTAAATCTGGTTTCACGATTCTATTCACGCACGCGGTGTGTCAAAATCTTGGCTTCAAAACTGCAAGATTTGCATTTTACAACTATAAGAAACTTGTTCAGCAATGGACGCTACTTACGCCAAATCATTTATGGGAAAATCTAGATACATTTCGCCTGTAATCGGACGATGCACGACTAGTTGTTACATAGATTACTACTTGGAAAACCGACTTTTAACTGCGTGTGTCTGCGTGTGCAACTAGCAAGAGTTAAATCAGGCGATAAATCGATAGTTGCAACTGAGAGGAAATTCAGCAATCACCTGATTACTAGATTTCCACTGTCGTTACCAAATAATTTTTCAACTATTTTTCGTTTGTATTCGATCACATCAAATAGTTACTGTCAACGAAGGAAAAGCGAATCCGCGGATTCGGGTTTCCGCGTGGATCCGGATAGATCCGAAAAGATCCTATGGATCTCGAGAAGTGCGAAAAAGGACTATTTCGGACAGAAAAGGCAAGGCATATCTTTTCTTTTTGAAAGAATTCACATGGATGTAGAAACATTTTTGAAGTAGACAAAGAATGTCTGCGAAATACAAGCAAAACATGTGCTGACTGTTTAAAGTTGACGAACTAATACATAATAATACGTTAAACTGTACTCACAGAGTTCAATTTTAAATAATGTGACGAAATTGATTTCTGTGGATCCTACTTTACTTTGTTACTACCTGATTCCACTTTTAGACTTTGAGAACTGATTGTATCAGTAGGGATCCGATTGTATCCGCGTGGATCCGGGATCTGCCTTTTCCCCCTTGGCTACTACGCGATTCTCCGTATCATCAGTTTCGGTCAAGTGTTCTTCCACGATCATTGACATCTGTTATAAGAATTTCCATCTAATATTTGTTACGTGGCGTAGTCCAACGTCGCAGGTTAATTTTAGACATTTATTACGAAAAAGAAAAGGCTAAATTATACTAAAAGTTGATATGAATATACGTGAGTGGAGAGGAAAGATATATTCCTCAAAAAATCTTGCATGATTAACGGTACGAAGTTACCACAAATTTTCAGTCCAATTGTTGCACAGAGGCTTGGAACGTTTTAATTTCCATTGGAATTAAAACAGCTGTTGTACCTTTCAATGAATGATCTGAAAAAAATGGATGATGAATGAACAAGCCTGTGACTACCGGAAAATTTGAATAAAACTGGTGAAGAAAAAAACACTTATTTTGTGGGAAATAGCTCATAATAGTGCAGAAAAATGAATTTTGCAAACACTTTGTATTTGGGATTCTTCTACCTAAGCGTAATCCGGCGGAGTCTTATCACTAGCCGTCGGTGAGTTACACCGTACTTTTTTTCATGAGATATAGCTAATCTCTGATTTGTGTATGGGGCCTAAATTTTCAATGTATTTTTATTTTAAACCTTATAAGTAACATATCTGAAAAATATTTTTTATGTTTCCGAATGTAAGATATTTTGAATCTTTTTAAAACCTCAAAAAATACAGAAACATAATTATGCAAGTGTTTCTTCATATTGTGGCTCAGCACATTATCTTCCAAACTACAAACATAAAAATACTAGTTTTCTGAACTTCTAAGAAAATGAAGTAAAAAGTGTTGTAAGTGTCCATAAACTTTTGCCTGCCGAATATAAAATGTTTAAGGCCTCCCCTCCCCTAGGTCAGAAATATAGATTTTTCCATAAAAGGTACACATTGAGCTAACCACATGATTTAAGAGCCCAAGGTGCCTACTTTCAGAATCCATACTATTTGTGCCAATATCAAAGGTTTCTGCGGGGGGGGGGGGCCGTTAATTTGTTGTTTTGTTAGTTCCTTTGCGGGGCGGGCAATAGCCCGCCCCCCTCAAACGGGTATCCCTAAGGTGGTCGGAGAAAATTG